AGTTATTTTTGTTCTTTTAGCCCCTGTTGCATATCAGGCAAATGGTTGCTACCTTCAACCAAGTTAGCAGGTCTTCATTCTAACTCAAATGATGTAGAATTAATTATTGTTGTTTTGTGTGTGTGTGTGTGTGTGTGTGTGTCTGTGTGTGTGTCAGAAATAAAGAGAGGTTAAGCATTTTGAAAATTAGGGTGATAAATAGCTTCTTTGGAATGTGTGGGAAATCTTGAGGAGTATGTAGATCTTCAATTGCTTTCACAGCTCCTGTTAAGATCATGTGTTCTGTGTTAAAGTTCAGTATGTTCAGACATTAAGATCATAGAATTATTACTCACAGGCTGGATTCACCAGAGTTTCAGCCACACCGAGTAAGATGTACTGAAAAGCCAGGTGGAAACAGGGCATGGAGGAAACAAGGATAACTTTTCCAGAAAGAGTTTGCTCCATTGAAGGGAAATCTTTTCTGTGCATTTCCAGGAAGCCAGCTACCATCACAGACAACACCACAGAAAGATGTCCAACCACTGAGTGGAAAAAATGCAAACGAAAAATGAAGTACAGTGTTAGAAATCAATAGAATAGGCCACGGTGTTTCTTATCTATTTATGCAAGGGGTATTTCCTCAAAATTATTATTATTATTTGCTCTGGGGATAGTCGGGCAGCTCACTGTATTGTCCAGACAAGGGCTTTAAACTGGTTAAAGTTGGTTTCATTAAGGCGGAGGAAATGAGAACAGATTGAAATTTTTAAAATGTGGGTGAAATGAATTGAAGTTGGAACAGGAAAATAATGGTTCAAAGCCTTGGAATGGGAGAGTTGGAAGAAGCAGAATGAACCTTTTCTAGATCCTGGTGCAGGAGATGGGATTGCTGCCAGGACTGGGGAGGGTGGCACACATTCAGAGTGACGTGGAAAGCTGCCATCTTTGTGGTCAGGGTCACTGCTGTGGTTGACTCTGTTGTTTAAGAGATAGGTCATTGTGCAACAGGCGCACAGCCCTTGTTTTCTAAAAAGGAGAGTAAGTTTCAAGCAATTTTTCCCATTCTGGTTCCCTTTCTGGTTTACCCACATTTTACAAATTAAAGTCCATTTTGGTTTCATTTCATGGGCAGTGACCAAGAGGAGCTGGTTGGAAGCCCAGGTATAGATCCTTTGCTTAGGTGTTGGTCTTAGAAATGTTAACTTTTTATTTTTTAACTAATTAGTAATACAGTCTCTGACCAGTTACCCTATGTTTATTAATACTTTCCAGAGCAATATAATGGGGAGCAATGATTATTAAAATTAGTTATTTTTTAAGGTGGCTGTGAGGTTTCAATAAAATTACATGCTGGTATTATAGGTGTTCCTGGTAGTAATTAGTAACAATTATCATTGAAGATAGAGCAATAGTTTTAAACTTTCAACGCTAGATGAGATATATCATTCTAAACAATTTTAAAGAAATATATGAGTCAAAAATGATTTGAGAAAAATTTCAATAAAATTATTTCTTCATGTGGTTTCAATCTTTATTTTTAAAACTGTTTTGAAATGGCATGTAGAGTTTATCAGTTTTCAGATTTTCTGATATTCCTCTAATTTTTGCAGAAAAAGAAAAGTAACCATTCGAGAACTTCAAAACTAGAAACTTAGGTCTAGGAAAAATGGCTTGAAAGGATGAATTAGCTAGACAAAGAGTATAAATGGATGAAATTATTCAGGTAGTGGTTCAATTCTTCTCTTCTTTTTATCTAGGAAATTTTGGTGTAAAATGAGTTTGAATTTTGTTAATATCTACTACAATAATTTTATTCTCAATTTATCATTCATATAACTGGACTTGACCCCATTGTTAGAGAAGGATATCTGAGCTTGATGGGATTCGTTTGAAATTTAGAGATAGTCACATTTTGCTAACTTGCATAAAATTTAAGATAAGGCAAAGCTTTCAATTCAGAAAAATCAATCTCATGTTTAAATAACTTAGTGTTTGTTTTGGTTGATAGAGAAACTGGTAGGCAAATTTTGTGATTATATCTCAGCATGTAAATGCACCAATAAAGTCTAGCTCCCAGAAATGAGAGGTGTGAAAAAGAAGGAAACCTAAATAACTGTTCAACAATTTAAGGCATTTATTAGTATTATTTTAAAGTAAGTTCCATTCATAGTGGAGTAAAGCTTGTGATTCAGTAAATAAAGCATATAAAAATATAAATTTCACAGATCATCTGACTGAAGAAACAGTGTGGGAGCCACATTTAACTTCTTCAAGCTTGACAATTCCCCATCTGCCCGAGAATGATATAGCCCTCCCATCTTCTTTATCCTGTTCTTCCATCAGCTGTTCTTCCCACAACACACTGCTGGGTTTCATCATCTATTTCAGTGGCCACACAGAGCGCATGGACCATACTTATGATGAGGGGGGATATTATGGAAGCGAACAGGTTACAAGTCATGATCAGAAATGTTCAGGTTTCAACGATTTGGTCTACAGCCCTTTTTCTTGGCCACAGTGAAGGCAGCTCTCTCTCTCTCTCTCTGCGTAGACAAGTGATATGAATTTCCTTCAGCACGAGTGAATGCTCCAAGGGCCCCCACTCTACAAGCCAGCCCTCTGCCCAAAGTCACTCAGTTTTACTCATTCTGGGGGCTGGGAGGCCTCCATTCTTTCCCTCGGTCTGTGTGGACCCCCACCCCACCCCCACCCTTTGCCTCTGCCTGCTACCGCCACTCTTCCACACACCCCCTTGAATGTGCTTCACTCCGGGATCTTCCTTCTTGCTGATTATGAGATTTTTTTATGCCTGCTTCTTAGATGGTCATTTTTTATGACAAAATTGTCCACTCTCCTTCTTTAGAGTCCTCTACCTCTATCCCTTATTTGCACGTTCCCACCTAGGCACTTGTTGAGAGTACCAAGACCATGGAGAGCGATCCCCACAAGGAATACAGCCATGCCATAGTCACCAAGATCAAATGTGTCAAATCGTTGCACCGATCTAGATTTCATACTTGTTATGCCCTTGGCCTCCTCTGAAAGAAACCTAATGTATTAATTCATCTACTTTGCTATAGTCCAAGTAGTATGATGGGGTCCCTGATGGTACCAAGGGTGAAATGTCGGCATGCTAAATGTAGGTTGGTGACGTAAACCTAGACTGAGGGGGCTACCTGTCCCTATAAAGATTGACAGTCCCGGAGGAGCCATTCTACTCTGTCCTGAAGGGTTTTTATGAGTCAGAAGGGACTCAATATCACTGGATGTGGAGCCTAGCAGCACAGAAGGTTAAGTTCTGGGTTGCTCACTGAATTAGGTGGTCAGAACCCATCCCATGGCCCTGCCGGAGGAAGTCTTGGCAATGTGCTTCTGTAAAGATCACAGCCTAGCAATTCCTCTGAGGCACTTCTACTCTGGCAGCCAGGATGGTGACAATTTGGAATCAACATTACTCCCCTCAAACAAGAACAACAAGTGCCATGTATGGGGTCCCATGGAGGAAGTACAAATAAGTCAGAGCTTGGCCGCTAACCGAAAGGTTAATAGTTTGGGTCCACCCACACACAGGTGCCACCAAAGAAAGGCCTGGTGATCTGCTTCTGAACCATGAGTCATGAAAAACCCCAGGGAGCACAGTTCTACTCGGACACACATGAGTTGGAATTAACTCATTGGCAACTGGTTTGTTTATGTTAGGCATAATGGAGGATACAAGATGGAAAAACCTCTGTTTTCAGACATTGTATATTCATATCAACACTGAGAATGGGGAATAGAAAAATAAATTATTCCCAGTTGGGGAGGTGAGCAATGTAATTTTATATTTTAGAGAAGGTTCCATTGTAAATGGGGATGGGGCCACAAATAGCATGAACAAAGGCACAGAAGTAGGAAAGGATTGGACACATTTTCAGAACGGTCATACATTGAAATTATTTGGAATCAGGGAGAAGAAAGATTGGGGCCATTTAATACTCTTTTTGAAAGAAGCATTTTATACCCTTCTTAAGGAATTTAAAAATTACTCTGAAGATAATAGAATCATTGTGAATTGTAGACACAGTGAAATGATTAGAATTGTCATTTAAGATGATTACTCTAAAGGCCATTTGCTGGATAGATTGAATGGGAGAGCTATTAGTGGTATAAAGATAGGAAGTTAAAGAAAAAGTCTTTGTAAGGTACAATGAATTACAATCAGGATTCCCAGTGCTGGAGAACTTTAGGGAAGATGGGGACACAAGACTCATCGATTCAACTAATAAAACCAGGGAAAGTAAATCAAGGATGAAGCAGATATCAACGTTGACTGTTCATCTAGTTGACTGGAAAGAGGACATGGTGGTAACATTAATATAAATATGCCCACTCAATTTAATATTTACACTTTCCCTCCTAAAGAGGAACTATCAGAGATGTGCATAAAGATAATTAATTTTATTCTGAACAAGTTGAATTGGAATTATAAAAAGATAGCCTAAAAATGAAAATTGTAGCAAAAAGTGAATCTGAGGAGATTGGTTGAGTCTGCAGAAAAAGACTTGAGTCCTTTGCTAAAAAAGGGTATTTAAGATCGGATGAAATACAAAGAAGACAAGACACTGCCTAGTCAGTGTCTTTGAACAAGTTTACATTTGAAGATAGGAAAGTTAAGTAAAGCCAGCAAAAAAGAGGTCAGCAATGCAATGGAATGCCCCAGAAGAGAAGTTGAAGGCACGTTTCAAAGAACAGGGTACACAAGACCGAACTCTGGATCGTTCCCTTTAATTCTTCTCTCTCCCACCCATCTTCTCAAGCACCTGCAGAGAAGCCAGATGTCTGCAGTCCACTTCCTCAATTCCATTCCCTTCCCCAGTTAATCATTACGTTCTCCAGATTTTCAAAATAGATGCCGATTGGCCGTCTTCTTTCATTGCCACTGACATTATCATTTTCATCCAAGCCTTTGTCATTTTCAATCCAGACCAGGTGCAATAATATACATATGAACTGGAAGTTTGGTTCCTGGCTACTCAAAGTGTGTACTGATCAATAGCCTACGTATTCTTTGGGAGCTTACTATTAAGATCTATTGAGTTAATTTCAAATCATAGTGACTCAAATCATGTGACAGAGTAGACCTGTCCCATAGGGTTTCGGTTGTAATCATTACGGAATCAGATGGCCATGTTTCTCTGTGGCATAGTTGGGTGGGTTGGAACTACCAACCCTTTCCTTAGCAGTCCAGTGCTTAACTGTTAGAACAGCCAAGGGTTCTTGCAGCTTGTTCTACATGCATAATCTCAGGTCCACTCTAAAATAACTAAGTATTTTACCTGAAGGATCTAGATAGCTATCGTTCTACTGTTTTATTTACTACTGTAATCCAGGTGCTGGTGAAAAATGACTTTAAGAAAAATTAAAAACAACTTTGATCCCACCATAAACTTAATCCACTACATTTTTATTCTTAACTTGTATAAGATTGCAATAGCTCCAAAGGAAAGTGCAGTTTATCAGAATGTGCACATTTTAAACCTCTAGCAGATCTGTATTTACAAGATAAAGCACAATGGTTTCAAAGGAGATATTATATCCAGATAAATAATGCATGTTTTAATATTGGCTGTGTGGTTGCAGACAGTCCATAAGAGTCCTGAAGTTCTTAAGCTTTATCCTATTATCCTACCATGTAATAATTTTCCAAATTAGGCCATAATGAGATACAAGCAAATCAAAACACACTCAAACATTAAAATTGCACTTGCTGTTTTGTTTGAAAGTAAAATCTTTATACTAAAAAAAGAAAAGAAAAGGATATTTTAGGATGTGGGTTATTGGTCAAATTTACTCCCTGAGAAATTAACAGGGTTTCTTACATAGTTTGATGCTTGAGTCTTTGACATATAAGTTCACAACCATATAGAGGAAATTCTATTGAATTCACAAAAATTCTTCTTGGATACCCGATTCTGTCAAATTTTCAGAGGAGGAAATTTGCTCATGTGAGAACTTATTGTTGCGGATACACCACTCTCATAAAGGCAGCTGTAACTTCAAAACTCATTTAGGATATCTAACATTTGTTTGTGCTTTTATTTCTGAATATGTAACAGGCCTCTCATTGACATGGAGATCAGATATGTATATGCATCACCATAAGGAATCACCTGCTGCTTTGGGTGGTGTACTCAAATTGAATTTCAACTTTGATGTCAACTTTAAGAACATGAACCTGAAGATCGTAATGTGTTTTTATTAAATAAGTGAATAATTGAATAAACGACTCACTCCAGCAAAATGTTTACAGGTTATTTCTTTTGCTGTTTGAATAGTTTCTATTTTTAGGACTGTGCAATGGATCTTCCCTGCAGTGTTCTCTGGAGAAACATATCAGTTGATGGAGAAAACATCATAGAAAAATAGCAATGCAAAAATAAAAGACTAAGTTGATCCTACTTCCAATAAGGGTGACAAGATTCTTGACCTGTTTTTAATTTATTAAATACTTTGGTTTCAACAAGAAATAATCTTTAAATTAACTAACAATTACTGGAACTAGTTGAACTTACTGATTAAATACGGAAGTCAAACCTGTGACTTTATCTATATCATAAAGGACTTTTAAAGATGAAGCTCTTGAAGATATTTGAATATACTTCATTTGCATTTCAATTTAGATGTTATATAAAAGCGAAATAATTGTTACCTCCTGTGTTACACATTTATGCTTTGTATAAGGCTTAATAACAATCTTAATTAGACTAATTGTAGTCAGATTAATACTTGGGTGTGTCAGCACAAACTTTTGAATCCTGCATACTGCTGGATATAATTAATGCTAAGGAAAGGAAATACTCATGGCACAAATAATGTGTACCTAGAAAAGGCTAAAATGAAGTATGTACATTTATGGAAGCAGATAAAGCACAAGGAATGACTTGTTCTATATTTTTAGTAGAATAAGACTGACATTAAACTAGATAAATATTTATAGATCAAGTGTGGTGACAGGAAAACCTAGTCAATATTTGAACATCATATCAAATATTTGCATTTTATACATAGTTCTGAAGCTATGGTTGGACGTTTTTTAATAGTTGGCACCCTAGAATCCAGGAATGTTGTATTTTGGATTTTTGCCTTTTGTTGTGGAAGAGCTAGAACAAGGAAGTAACTTTATATTTTCCTCATAAGTTTCTAGATTGTTCAAAGTGTGAGGCTTCTCTGTCCCTCGTTCCTGGCAGGAGTTTGACTTAGGCTTATGAGCATCACTGTCTCTCTTGCTCCCCACCCTCCTGCATTCATTATTTGCTCCCCAATGCCCTTCCCCCTCCCCACTCATTCCTGATAAACCATTGCATCAGTTATTGTCTCCATGCAGTCACTCCTTCTGCGCTTCCTAAATGGGCAAACCCAAGAGAAACAATGAAAAACAACGCCAAACAGAAAAGAGACAAAATATAAAGATACAAATAACGAGTAAGAAAGAAAAGAACACCAGCAATATTTAAAAAGCCAGAGCAGAAATTTCTGTCATGGAAAGAGCGGGAAATATTTAACTCAAGAGCAAATTGTGGAAGGGTCGAGAGGGAGGTCTACTGCGCAAGTCTCATGTTGTACCATAGCTTGAGCCATCATAATCAAGTTTACAATCATCGCATGAGCTTTTCTTGTGCCTGCAGACACCAGGCATGGCCATTGCGTACACTGCCCACTGCAGGGAGTATGTTTCTCCTCATGGTGAACCTATAGGACACAGTAAAAACTTCCCTTTCAGGTTCCCAAGATGGAAAATCTTTACAGAGCAGACAACCTCGTTTTCCTTCTACAAAGTGGTGGTTGGGCTTGAACTGCTGACCTGTGGTAGTCCAATGGGAAATCTACTGTGCCCCCAAGCTCCCTACACTATCTCTTCTTCAAAGATGATAGCCCCTGAAAGAAGAGTAACTGAGTGTTACTCTAATACTTCCTGAAAGAATGACAGGAAGTGTAAGAAGTAACTACCCGTGGTGCTGATGGTGGTTTTCATCGATGTAACATAGTTTATTGGAAGTAGCAGTAAGGATTCCAAGTTGACAATAATTTAACTTCTTGTTTTGTATTAATGATGATCATAAAACGATGACCTCAGAATTCAAAGACCTTAATTCAAAGGACACTACGTTGATCTTTTAAATGATCATTTACCATGAGCATATGACATATATATAGAAGTACCCAGGTTCAAATTAGAAACTCAATACATATTTGTTTACTCATAATTGATATACATATAAATACCATTCACATTTTCCATGCACTTGAGTTCAAGGTGAAAGGAAATTTTAAAGTCAAATTAATTTGATTATGCAAATTACTATTAAAAGTACCTAGCTTTGTACCTATGCATCTTAATAAAACATATTAATCTTCTACAATCAAAATATGAAAAATGTAAGCAAATATATAGTTGAAAATTTAAATTCCTCACACTTTTTATATTCCCAAAGCAAAATAATACACAATAAATGAACCAATATGCAAATGATATATGAATACAGACTACCTTTCACAAAACAAATTTGTTTTAAGTCCTGAAAGGAACACAATTCTGTTTCAGTGAAGTGATTAGCTTTCTCCTTTTTCTCTAGCACGTCTTGTTATCAATCTTGAAGGGAAATATTTAGTTCATTAGTGTTATCAAATAATATACTAAGTATACTCTGCCTAGGCTCCTCCTCTTGCCAACAAAAGTATGCTCCCTTTAAGATTAAACATGTTTTCAAAGACACAAGAGTGAAGAATTGCCCCAGAGAAAGTTACCCATACTTACAATGAATTTGAGATTTCCTGTGCTCAGAAAGGATTTCTAACGTAATCCTTACAGCCATGGTGTATAGAATATTTTGCCTCAAGTTGTCCATATGTGCTTTCTTTTTGGTAAATAAATGTTTGAAGCTTCTTTGAAGCTTCGTCTGGGACAGTCCAAGGCGTGTCACAATATAAATCCAGCCCAGGCTGTCCTGCGCTCATTCTGCTTCACTTCCGTACTGGTGGGGATCGAGGCAATGCCTTCCTTTCGTTTCGTGTGTTCAGAGTGCTTAGGATAATGCTGGACATGCACCGAACACTGGCTTTTGGATTTCAACACTGGCAGACGCAAAAAGCAATTTGAAAGACTTCCGGGTTGTCAAAGCCCATTAAGAGTGTTAGTTTCCTAAAACTTGATGGAATAAGTAAATATGGGTTACGGGATTAAAATTTAACTATAAAAGTTTATATACTAATGGTCTCCAAAATCTACCCTAATTAATACCTTACAATTTAGGAGTTTTAAAAAAAATGTATGCAATCCTTCAGGATGCTAAGTTGTACTTACATATGCATGCCAACAGAAACGGGCCCTCTCTCTTCGAAGAAAAGAGGCAGGTGCGGAAATACTCCATAAGCGGGGTCAGGATTAATAACGGCAGGGTGCTCATCACATTCATTATGGCAACCGGCAGAAGAAATCCATTCACATTCAGGCTGGAGTTCATGGTCTGCAGATAATACCCGGAAGGAATCTGTGGTGGAGCAGGAAGGCAACCGTTCATTCAGACCGTGGTTTCGCTTGAAGGAAGCCTCTTGTAGGCCACAGTGGCAAGACTGAGGTTGGTGCCATGCAGTGTGGGAACTCCTTGTGTCACACACAGCCTTCCCCACCCCGTGGGGAGAGCTTACCCTACCCGTAGGGGTGAGTGCCATGCCACGCAGCCTGGCCCCAAGTGATTCCCCTAGGCTCCCCCACTTTCTCCAGTTGACCTTGGCACAGACTTTCCTGGGTGGCCGCTGTGGAGGGCCATTCTTCACCCTCATTTGGGGGAGGGAGATGGGGAAAGGACGCTGTGAACCTTGGGGTCATTCAGAACCACCAGGGGGTGTGCTCCCTCATCCTCCAACCTCCATTCCCACCGCGGCCCCACCAGTGACACTACTGGCTGTAGTCCTCTTGTCCAGGGTTTGTACACTGGAATGGTGAGCTACACACGCGTTCCCTGGCTGTTCAATTCCCCATTATAAGCTGATAAAATGCCTTGTCTGAGGCATTATGGACTCTGTAGTCTATTCACAATATTATGGAAGAACCTTTTGTCATCTACCCTATGTTCTAACTTTTCCTATGGAAGGAAAGGTTGTGCCGATTTTGTGTCTAGGATGGCACAAAGAAATCAAGCTAACACTAAGTTTTAGTGTTTAGTATATATGTAGTATTTATATATATAAACTTTCCCCCCATAACAAAAAAGCCAAAACCAAGAGAAGGCATGAAAGCGTTTGTTTTTACGTAGATGAAAAGAAAATGTTTTTCTTTTCTTTTCATGATAACAGATCCTTTCAATAACATCTAGCTCAATGGCAAGCTAGACAGGAATGACTTTTCCCCTCTGAAAAGCAGGGTTCTGTATGGAGAACACATGTCGGGCGTGGGCTGCCCGCCTGTCACCTTTGGCTTCCAGCATTGGCTTTATTTCCAATGTGAGTCAAACAGGTAAGAAGGAGAGAAGACAGGCTTAGGTCTGTGTTTCCTTTTTAAATGAATTATGTGACGTGGGTGAGCTGTCCAGGAGCCCTAGGGTCAGGGTGGGTTACGCATGAGGCTGCTACACAAGGTCCGAAGTTCGAAACCATCAGCAGCGCTGAGCGACCAAGACCGGGCTTTCTACTCCAGTAAACAGAATGTCCAAACCCCACAAGGGCAGTCCTCCCTGTCCTGGGGGTGGCTTGGGTCAGACTTGACTCCTGGGTAGTGAGGATGGAATTTGGAATGGGCCAGAGCCCTCTGTCAGTTTGCTGTTGTGTAGCAGCCTGCATGCTGCTGTGTTTCTGGGATTTTCTCTCCGTATTTCAAACCCCAGCAGCGTTACCCACGAGGGACTCATTTTTCCAGGACTTCCAGGCAAAAACTGCTTACCCAGACCAAGACAGCTTAGGAAGAAAGGCCTGGCGATTTACCTCTAAAGTGTAGCTGATGAGCACCCTGTCGTCGAGGACAGCAGACTGATCGGCTAGAGCTCGACCTTGGAAGGTGAGCGCGTGGGTGGGAAGACCCTCAGAATACACAAAGGCCGCACCCAGAGACACCACCCCCACCCCAGCCCGCTGTCTGTGAAGAGAGTGCAGGACTGAGCAAAAATGGGAACAAACGAAAGCAGGCCACAATGGGAGCTACAGGGAAAAAAGACGATTAACGAGTAATCGATATTTTTATTTCCCCACTCCCACGGCCCTCAATGGTTTCTTAAAAAACAACACCACCAAAACAAACAAACGAAAAAACAACCGCCCTCACTGCCATCAAGTCCACGCTGACTTGTAGCCACTCCCCGTGGGTCTCTGAGACTGTTTACAGGAGTAGAAAGCCCTGTCTTTCGAACTGCGGACCACACAGATGGCAGCCCAATGCATAACCACGACACTACCGGGCTCCTTAATAGATTATTAGGTTTGCACTAAAAAGAAAATAAACCCAATGCCCACTGAAACTCTAACCCTGACCTGAAGACTCTGTGTATTAAGTTCCTTTAGATTTTAATACAAGGAGGCTCGATAATGGTGGGGTGGGGTGGGAAATGGAATTGAAAGACAATAGAATTTTTTTCACGAAATTTTTGGAGTTCCTCTTATTACTAGATATAAGGCAATGTCACAGGGCGAAAAGGCATCTTTGACAGCTTTAGTTCAGCAAGCTTGCTCTAATCATCCCATCATCATCACTCTCATTAGCAGCAGGGACCATTGCCTGACCGCCCAGTGGCACACAATGCTGCTAAGGGGCATGGGAAGAAAGTAAACCCTGTTCTTCTCCTTAAGGAATGGAGTTTCTTACAGTGCATGAACTGATTAGGGTCCCTGCCTCCCCTCATCCCAGAAGAGCATCCCTGCTCAAGCATCCGGATGATAACCTCTTATTTAAAACCTTCTCTAGCTCTTTCTCCGGTAACAAATTGTAAAATTTGAGAGAGTCAGGAGAATCGGAGCCAAGGAGGCAGTTAGTTCAGTGTTACAAAGTCCACATTTGTAAAGTGAGGTTAATGCTACCTTCGCGACTTAAAAACAGAAAGGGACCACATTTTCACTCAAGTTCTTTCCAGCTATAAAACTTGTCCTGGTTATAGTTTATCCTAAATCACGACTTCACCCTTAGGAGAGTAAGCAAAGATTGCTTCGGTTGGGTGCAGATGGCAAGGATGAAGAGAACATGAACTAATTCTGCCCCCAGTCCAATAAAATTAATAAGCACCTATCCCCCAACCAGAAAAAATATCTAATTTTTAAAGTGCTGGCAGTAGAATCACTCTAAGGCTGAAAGGCTCCCAGCACAACTTGGAGGTTTCTGTTGCTGATTTAAAATGAGAATTATTGTTAATAGGAATAAAGTTATTATCGGTATGAATCACAGACACAGAAACCTGTTAACTTAATAATGTGGCAAATGTACTATTAATCTTTAGTGAAGCAATATTAATATATTGCCTAATCTAAGAAAAGGTTCCAGTGTCTTGAAAGCTTGAAACCATTTGTGCTTCTCCCTCAAGTTCTGAAATCATCCCCTTTTAAAATTTTAAATAATTTTATTTCATACAAGCCTCTGAGTATTCAGAAATAATTGCTGTCAATCGAGATTCATTTTCACCTTTGAGCGGCCAGCAATGACAAATGGCAGCAGCATCAGCCTTCATATCAACATATTTTAAATGTATGTCTTGGAACTGAAGGTCAGTAATGGCTACTAAATTTAAAATATGGAATCCTATGATGTTTTATTCTCCGTACTCTGATCGCTTTTGTACTGCTGATTATTTCATCTTGGGGGCAAAAATCAAATCCTAGTCTATCCCAGTGGCCATTTCATCGAATTCTCTAAAGAGGTACAATTTAATTATTTTCTTTGAAGTTTCCTGAATAACATTACTATATGTATATAATTTTGGAACTTATATCTAGTAGTGATCTTTAGCTGAGTCAGGAGAGAGGGACTGGAAGAAATAGCAAAGCATGAGGGTTGATACCAACCCCAAGCTGAATGGTTACTCAGCCTTAGAGCTGAACTAAAAATACCAGATGTTCCAGGCTTGTTGTGAGAATTAAATTCGATACAAGGAAGCCATCCTGTAGAGTGCTGCAACATAATAGGTCTTCAAAAAACATTAGTCTTTTCCCCTCTGAAATAAACTAGGCACTTAGTTTTATTGATTTGCTTAAAAATAGTTATCAAAATGTATCCTCTCATTGCCATGAAGCCAATGCTGACTCATAAAGAACCCCCCTGTGGGTTTCCAAGACTAACTGCTATGGGAGTAGAAAGCCGTCTTTCTCTTGAGGGGTGCTGGTGGTTTTGAACTGAACTGCCAACCATGTGGATTGTAACCACTGCCACTGCCAATGAGTAACCACTACCCCACCAGGGGTCCTTAAAATCCTCAGGTGTGTCTAATTAAAAATATATGTGCAACAGTTTATAGAAAGGGCTTCAATATAGTCAAAGGAAATATCAGCTTTCACCGCACTATGAAGATTAGGTTTTACTCGTTTGTAGTGTTAGCACAATCAGTTCGAGTCTATGAATCAGATCACAGTAAGTTTACACTCATCAATTTCTTCATCCTAAGTTGTTTTTAATGATATTCATAATCATGTATACGGGTCATTAATATATATGAGCCATATATGTGACCCATATATGTGATCATGAGTATCCTAAAAACAATGGGTTCAAACATAAGACCAATTGCGAAGATGCCAGGGGACCGGTGAATGTATAGTTCGAACAGCAGCAATATACGTGTGTCTGCTGTGGTTTGTGTTTTTTATCCCGGCTACCATTGTAGAGTCAGTAGGGAAGTGGATCTTCTAAATCAGACTAGGTTTCATGCATGGTTTGAGTCCATTGGTTGGCAAGCGTCTGCAAAGGACCAGCTATTCAATACTCCCACATACAATCTACTAAAACAACTCAACTTAGCTGTTGTTGCATGTAAGCAGCCATCGGCAAGACAGACAAATGTGTGGGTTATTCTCCCAGTAACTTTATTTATGGGTGCTATGAATTAAATGTTGTGTGCTACAAAATCTTCTTCTTCTGATACTTTAACTACATACAATTGTAAAACTTTCCTTGTTTATAGATCATACAAAAATAAGCAGGGGGCTGGACCAGGCCACATGAGGGTCAATTTAGAAGACTGAGCATTGTACTGAGAGAGGGCAAATGAGCTTACCTTAAGACACTATTACGGAATTTTTCTGAGCCTCCATTTCTTCTCCAACAAATGAAGTAGTCTTGTAAGTTAATGTCTAAGTTTCTTTTTAACTCTAGTGTCCAAAGATTTTGTAAAACTCATCCGTCGACCTTCTAAATTCCAAATTGTGGGTTAGCAATGGGAAAAAAGTCTAAAATCCGTTTAAAGATTTTCCTGATCCCTTATTTTTCTCCATCGATAAGTTAGTCTTAGACCATATCACGTTATTTTTAAAGAACAATGTATACTTATAAGAGGTACTTCGGGTTAGTGTCTTTCTTCGGCTTTTTCTACATATGGTTATTGGTTCACTAAAGAGCTAATAGAGTGGGTGGGAAGAAAACCATTTGCTCACTAGTACAGTGGAGTACAGTGGAGGCGGTACTCTAATCAGTCAATTTAGCTACTTCTGAACCCCACTGTTTAAAGTTTCAACCAGGGAGGAGGGCAAAATTTTTGGCTACAGTGAGGTTTTGTCATTGTCTTTAGATTTGGGTTTTTAAAAAATTATTTTATTGAGGGCTGGTACAATTCTTCGCTGTTCCTGAGGCTTATGCTCCTATGCACTCTGAAGTGTTGTCTGTCTTATACATCTACTGGCAAATGGTTTTAGTTCCGTGGAAGATCAACAGTACATGTCCAGATTCTTCTCACGTACCGCTTGGCCTGATTCTTCTCACTGTTAGCTGCCTGCCCGTCGGTTCTGACTCATAACGACTTAACGTGCAACCGAATGAAACACTGGCTGGTCCTGCACCATCGTCACAGTTGTTCTTATGTTTGACGCCATTGTTGCAGCTACTATGTGGATCCGTCTTACTGAGGGCCGTGCTCTCTCTCCCTGCCCGCTAGAGCCCAGTTCCATGAGAGAAAGATGCACCAATCTGCTCGCATAAAACATGCAGCTTCGAACACCCAATTCAGCAGTTCTGCTTTATCACATAAGGTCACTATAAGTTGAAAGTTAGCTCACGGCACATAACAACGACACTGGCAATGTTTACGTGCATTTGAGGATGTAAATAAAGCACTTGTTGGGAGTAACAATAAGAAGAGTTTACTTGAAGCATTAATATGCAGCTACATTATTGGTGTCGTTTTAATTGCCTTCCTTACCTGCATGATACACATTCTATACAGAAGCTGAAAAATGCAGAGAGGGAGAAGCAGGAGGAAGCCTTTCGCATCTTCCACGTGGAACTCACTACAGCAGCCACCATTTACTTTCTTGGCCTGGTCCAAGCAGCCTGTCACACCTCTGCCCAAATGGTAATATCTCAGGCAGTATATTTTCAGTGCATTAAAGAACACCCCAAAGGTTGTCAGGAGGGAGCAACCTGAAAATAATCGGAGATGTTATATATTAGTAAAGACATTGCTCTTCGATTTTCCAAGATGTCAATCAAAAAGATGACAATCGCAATGGCAAAGAGCAGTAAAGTGACTGGGAAGGTTTAGCACCCAAGGGGGTGGATTCAAAGAAACAATCTTCTGACAAGGATTCGGGTGTCCTGGTGACCAGCACAAGGCGGTATCTGACAGCTGATGTGCAAAAGGAAAAGGGGAAGATCAATGGGAACATATTAAAAAGGAAAGAAAGGCGACAAAATAAAACCCCAAAGTAAAGGATTTCAGAATCTCTTAGAAGTCTCCAACTTGAAGTCATTAATGAATAAAAAACCTGAACTTACTTTTGCATCCTCAACACAAAGAACTAGTACTTTATAAAAAATATATAAATCATTATATACATAACCTTCGCTTCCCTTGGCAGGGAGAGGGTGGTATCTTATTTTGACATGGAGATGAAGGGAAATGTATTCATTCCTCTGATGTTATCCTCGGTTCAGATGTAAGGTTACACTTTGAACTCTTCAAATGACTTTGTACATGTTGATAGTGTCACTAAGAGTTCAGATTGGATTAATTGGCTTTTGACTTTTCCAGTAGTTCTCTCTGGGTGGATGTGGCTGATGCGCCAGCATCAGAAACCTTTTATTGCTTCCGCTGTTAGTAGTCACTTACTGCTAGTGATTTGCAACCCCATTGTTGCTTCTTTTATGATCTTTCAGATTCCACCTTTTCTTTGACTCCATTAGAACTTCCTGATACAATGACAGATAAGAGACCCCGTTTAGTTAGCAGTTCAGCTCTGCCATGGTGATTTTACAATTTTTTATAGCACCCTCTTTGCCCAGATAAATCTTTCCACAAATTACATAGACACCAAACCATGGTTGCAGGATAAATGATATAGTAAGTGTGAAAAGGTTTGCGTGTCCCAAAAGAATGCTGAGGTAGAATCTCAAAATGTAATTTGATCATCATTGTAATTACGTTCAAGTTTCCCACAGCAAAACTGAGGATGAAGTGCATTCTAACCGGGCTCATTGTAATGCCATAGATTATTGGTGGTCATATTTAAGTAAAGAACATTTACTAATATTTCTTTTTATTACCAGAGAGTGGCTATATTGATCTGATCTGATCTTCTCTTTAATATTGTAATGGCCCTATTATGTCAGCCTTTGATTAACTGAGGAGGCTGGGGACCTGGTAATTGAATATGGAGCCTTTCACCTTTAAGTCACTGAATCAAATCCATCCCAAATTGGTAGTGACCAAAAATGATTACATCAGTGGCCCTTTGGTGGCCTCTGTGAAGTGTGTTTCAGTCATGTGGATGGATGTGGGGATAATTGCTGATGGAGATGGACTCATACATAGAGTCACTAGTGCCCCACCTTAGGCAGATATATACCTCAGGTCCAGAGACTGATAAGGCTGAGGGTACAGAAGTCCCTGTGAGACGTACCTCTTAGGAAACAAGTAAAAGGACTCTCTGTGAGTCAGAACTGACCTGATGGCAGTAATTATTGCAGAAAACACTAGTATGAAATTTTCCTAGCTTTGTCAATTAGTTTATTTAAGGTTTTAGTAAGAGGAGATCTGAGAATATGTTGATGAATAGGTGAAAGACCAAATTTAAACACACCTGAACTATGAGGCTTACCTTCTTACCATTTCCTTATAATTTTGTCAATCTGCTACTCATTAACTTGCTCCCTGTGCAACTTTTGCACAACAGTACTGGGCAGATACCCAAACCAGAAAACTGAACCAGTGCTGCCCACTGGATCCCAGCTCATAATAACCCTCTAAAGAGCTTCCCATGCTGGAAACCTTTCCAGGAGCCGAGAGCCTCATCTCTCTTTCAAGGAGAAGCTGGTGGGTCTGAACACCAACCTTTCAGGTAGCAGTCCGTTGTGTACCTGACAGTGTCATCAGGGATTCATTAATAGAGTTAATAATTTCATTGGCCAAAATGTCTGTATGTTTCAATTAGTCCTTGTTATTAACGGCTCTATTTTTAGGATGCAAGGCTATTCCCAAAGATATTTCACCCAATTTTTTCAAGTTTAAGTGCTTATATTGAATAAATTGTACATGTTTTCAATGTTCTTTTTGAACTCATCATCAATATTTGTTGCAAAATAAATGAGGATCTTTTCTTACTGTGTGATAATTTTTTTCTTCCATTTTAGTACACAATTGAGCATGACTCTTATATTATTCCTCCAGGGAGGTGACTTAGATAAGTACTTCTTGAACTGTGCTGAATGATGCACTTAAAATGAGATGCAAAAAAATAAGTACTAGAAGTAGAATAAAATGAATAAACATAAACTATAAGTCCTGATTTTTATTACAGTCCATACACATGAAGCTACTATAAAAGTTCCATAAACATCATTTCTAACAGTTTTCTCTCCTTTTTTGTATTTATTCTGCTGTCAACTATCAGGAAACTGTTCATAGATCAGTGCTGTTACCTGGACCAGGATGTAAGAAGTACTGGCTTCAATTGAATCCACATTGTAAAAAATAAAATTTTATCTGAAACAATGATATGAAGCAATGAAAACAAAATAGTCAAGAAGCAATAAGTGAGTAAATAGAAGTGAGGTTTTCAATTCTGTCCTCTCATGATTCCATCTGGGTTCATGTGTATTGAACAGCAGTGGTACATAATTGATGGCAAACAAGGGTGCATGCAATCACTCATTTATCCAGTCTCTACCATATGGCACAGACTGATGTAGGCCCTGGGCATACAGCAGTGAGAAAGAGGTACAAAGCCCTGAGTTTTCTTTCTGATGGAAGGAATACTAAATAAGCAGGGAAATGCTAGATAAGTTCTATGAAGGAAATAAAATGGGCTGATATTATGGATATAGATTTGAAGGATATTATGGGTATGATGTAAAGAGGCTCCTCTAAGAAGACATTTAAGCTGAGGCTTGAATGACAAGAAGGAGGCCAAAAACAAAACCACCACCACCACCCAAAAAAACAACAACAACAACAACAAAAAACCTGAGAGAGTTTATGCCATTTGGTAGAAATGAGCAGGAAGTGATTCGGGAACAGAAAGGCCCATTCATTGAAAAGGAGATTGGGAAGCGATGAAGTCTAAGATGAAGTCCACAGGCACAAGACCTTGTAGGCCAAGGTAACCAGTTTATCTTCCGTGCTCTAGCAGGCCATTGTGGAGTGTGAAGCAGAGTAGAGATACTGTGCATTGCATATTTGGAAAAGATCACTCCGGAACTCTGACAGCTGTGTGAATAACAGATCTCAGGGAATCAGAGGGGAAGCTGGGAGAAAGGCAGGAGATAATGATCACTTTAGTAGCCATGGTAGCAACAGAGAGAGATGAAAAGCATGAGAAGGAAGTGCTTTTTCCTGAATGCATAAAAAGTAATACATTATGAAGCATAACATCATCTGTACTATTTGTGTTTTATTGTAATATATTTATATATTCAACAAAACATTTGCCATTTCAACACTTTTTTGTATCTACAATTCAGTGATAATGAGTTCAACATATTATACAACCATTACCACCATCCATTTCCAAATTTTTCCATTACTATTAACAGAATCTCTGTATTCCCTAAGCAATGATTCCCTCTTAACCCCTCCCGCCTACCTCTGGTTGCCACTAAGAAGTTTTTGTCCCTATATGTTGGTTTATTCCAGATATTTCATATATGTGGGATCATATAATATTAGTGTTTATATGACTGACTTATTTCAGAAGAATCTGTGGTTTCTAATGTTGGAAGGGGAATAAAGAAATGAGAAGATTTGAGGCTGATTACTTGGTTTATTTTTTTTTCCTTAACTGAGTGCTATTGGTAAACTGAGGTGACAAAGACAAAAAAGAGCAGGCATGGGGATCAAGAGTTGAATTCTGGCCAGGTTAAGTTTGAGATAAATATTCAATATCCAAGTCAAATGTCAAATTTTGAGGAAAATATATGCATATTGAAGTCAAGAGAGAGGCCCGTATAAAATTGAGTGTTTGATATATCCATTAAAACAGCTGCTATTGGGTTGATTCTGATTCATGAGACTCCATGTGTCTCAGAGTAGAACTGGATTCCTTAGGGTTCTTCTAGTTGTGTCCTTTCAGAAGCAAATCACCAGACTTCTCTTCCAAGGCACCTCAAAACTGTCAGTGGGTTGAATCTAACCCCTTCCCCCCGACCCCGGCTTTCTGTCAGTAGCTGAACATTTAAAGTCATGAGACTAGAGAGGATTAAATAGGAAGAAAGTGTGAGTAAAAGAGAGATAGCAACCCTGAAATAAATTTTAGGACTTTATATCAGCTAGGGGACCATTAGAAGAGAAAAGTTAGCCAAGGAGACTGAGACAGTGTGAACATGTGCTACATAAGGCTATAAATAAGAGGGAAGAAAGGCAAGAAAGTTGTGAACCTAAAATAATCAGATGAATGGAGAGTGAGCCAACAAAACAGAGAGGACAGGAAGAGGGAGTGCACAGTACTCAGTCCACAAAAGGACTGACAACTGTTCCAGAAAGTGACTGGAAAGTTCAGGAGGATATACTATTGAAAACATCAACATATAGACATCAAATAATCTACTTGGATTAAATCTACTAGATTTAATAGAAGACTCAGGCCTTCTATACAAATAATTTTGCTTGTCATGTAGGTCCAGCAGAAAAAAACATCCCATTGTCATTATAATTCTCAAATTGCTTTTTTGCACCATGAGCTGAAATGGGATGTTGAAAAAGGAAATCAGAAACGAAAAGTTCAACTGAGACTTCAAGCTCCAGTTAAAACGTGCGTGGAAAACACACCAGGCGTGCACATTCTAAAATAAAACAGATGAGCTATTTAAAATGTTTTATTGCAAAACCTAAAGATTATAGCTATTACAATTTAAAAAAACTTTTAGAAAGCAATTTTTCTATCTTTGTACCTGTGAGTCCTTGGCTGTGATGTTCTGCTCCTCTGACCTTGATCTAATCATGAACATCTATGCTACTTAATTATAATAAAAAAGCCTACATTGCACTCTAGATGGTAGATGCACATTTCTTCCTCTTTGGTCACCTGCCAGTTCTCAAAATTATAGCAGTGGGAAGAAATGCAAATGAAGGCTGTGCTTGACAGCTAAACATAATGGAATGCATGGTCCACATTTGAAAAGTTACCTTAAAATAAAAGGTAGCACATAAAAAAATCATTTCTTTAAGGTCACCTATGGCTTTGAATTACAGCTTTGAGGAATTTCCAATTTAGTCATCAGAGAGGAAGAAGCCAAAATAAGGATTATATACTTTGCTAGAGGGAAGACAGAGTTTTACTTCATCACAGGTGAGTCATCTTATAACTTGGAAATCATTTTTAAAAATAATAGCTAAACCCCCACAAAACAAAACATTCATTTTCTGAAGCATGTTGTAAACGAAGCTACTGGTGAATATTTTCTACACTAATTGAGCTTACAGGTGACAAAATTTCTCCTTATTAATATCCAAAGAAAAATTACCTTCTCACATGTTCAAATTTGTAATATATGGACTACAATAGGCTGGCAATGAACAGTGGACTATAAAGATCTGCATTACTTGAAAAAGAACTGCATTCCTTTATCCAGGTGAATATATTTTTAAGTAAGGTATTGAAATGCAAATGAAGGGAGTCTGAATAGTTATTTATAAAATTTAAATCTATAAATAATATATATATGCTCTATCTAGCTATGCTCAGAAGCTCTGCAAATTATTTGATAATTGTACACTTTAGAAAATGCCAAAATGATTTTCCAGTAAAAAATTTATAATGAACATTTTCCTCTTTCTTTTTGCTATTCAAGTTTAATGAGAATGTCTCTCAGATACCTTTATGCATATAGGACCTGTTCAATAGACTACTAGGAGGGTATTCATTGCTAAGTTGTAGCCCCCCCAGACTGCACAACTCTGAGAATCAAGAAAAAGAGATTCTGTGGATCATATTTCCATTGCTTCACTGACTCAGTATAGGCTAGAATAACTTCTAGCCTGAGAAAAATGATGGCTAAATCTTGTTTCCCTCTGGCTATTCTTTGAGAAATCTTAGGCAAATCACTTAAGTATGTTTCAGCTTTCTTACTCTTTCTAACCAACCACCACAAACACTGAATGAGCACTTACCATAGTCCACAAATATCAGTATATACTTAGTCCCAATATACACATATACACTTATACATATGTCTATATATACCAAGTACAGAGTATGTACTTAGTCCAAGTCTATATGTAGTCCATGTATATAAGACACTGACACCGAAATAAGAGGCCATTGAGTTCACCCTGACTCATGGCAACCCACTGTGGGTCACAGTAGACTTGCACTCAGCCAGTCATTGATCACCAGACTTTTCTCTCAAGGACTAAAGCTATTGGGTTGCTATGAGTTGGAATTGACTTAATGGCAATGAATTTGGTGTGTTTGGTTTTTACTGGATGCACCCAAACCTCCAAGCCTTTAGTTACCAGATGAGCAAGGTAACCCTTTGTACCATCCAATTCTAATTCAATTCATAAATAGATTATTTCAATTTAAAGTTATAGGCGAATTGGGAAATTATTAGCGGGGTACCACAGGAGCAGAAGCAAAGCTTAAAAAATCTATATTACAAAGGATACAATGGTACCCTTTCTACCTACCGCACAACTATTCAGTGAAAATAAAGTAATGGTGAAGGTAGTTAAGTTTCAAAAATACAATCAATTATCTTATTCTGGGTGGCGGTTGTATAGAAGAGCAGTAAAGAAAGTTGCAGTAGTAAAAGGAAAGTAAGTTAGGAATTAAGGTCAGGGTTAAAAAAAGATAGATGAATTGATAGACCAACAGAACAGAGTAGAAAAGTGAGGGATGCAAGTGACAATTTATCATATGATAAAGGTGGTGAACCAAATTAGTGAGGGAAAAATGGACTTTTAATTAAGTGGGGTTAGGATAACCGAACAGTAACATAAAACTGGGTTCATTCTTAAAATCTAACTTCCAAGTGAATCAGAGCTATAAAGCTAAAAAAGTAAGTACTAAAAGAAAATATGACTGAATTCCTTTACTATCTGGGCATGAGGGAAACTTTTACGTCATGACGCAAAATCTATAAGCAATAAGGAGATGGACAAATTTGATTAAAAACAACAATAAACCTGAGCAAAAGACAAAACAGACAGACTGAAAAATCTAGTGTGTGTCATATACTACCAGAAACAAAATAAAAAGATGATGGCAAATGGGATAAAATATTTGCAGCTTCTACTACAAAGTATCAATATCTCAAATATACCAAAATCTTAAAAAACTGACAACAAAAAGACACAGCCCTACAGGACACATGGACTATAAATATAAGGAGGTACTTAACTGAAAGAAATGCAAGTGACTTTAGATCAATGAAAATACTAGGGGGTAGCCCCTAAAAAACCGGACTTGCGGTGGCTGGAGGGGAGCTTTATGCTAGGCGAGCATCAAGCAACTTACTCAGTGCACCCAGTGGTGTCACCTGGGAAGGTTCTCTCTGGTCAGAGTGAATTCTTCAGAAAAGCAGTTTTGCACGAACTTTGTTTTTTGTGATGATCATTTAAAAGAACAGCGTGTGGCTGTGATACTTTGTTTCCTGGTCGGAAAAAAAATGCCACAGAAACTGTTGTGATGTTGAACACAGCTTACACAGACAGCGCTGTGGGGAAAACTCAAGTGTATGAGTCCTTTTCTTGTTTCAAAAAAGGTGAAATATCAATTGATGATAAACCTCATTCTAGACATCTGTGAAATTCCCAAACAGATGAAAATGTCGACTCATAGTGCATTTGGAGTTTGCTCCACCAGGTCAGATTGTTAATCAAGCTTTCTATCTAGAGGTTCTGAAAAGATTGCATAACATTATGCAACAACAGCTGCCTGATTTGTGTCGAACAGGGCACTTGTTTTGCCTGCAGAGCAATGCACCTGCTCATGCAGCCATCTCAGTGCACCAGTTTTTGGCAAACAACAGCATGACTCTCTTGACCTTGTTCCATGACACTTCTTTTTGTTTCTGAGAATGCAGAGAGACACGAAAGAACAGCGATTTGACAAAGTAGAGGAGGTGAAGAAAAAAAATGAGAGCAATGTTTTCAGCCATCCAAATGGATGTGTTTGAAAAATGTTTCCAACAATGGAATTACAGGTTTGACAAATGTATTACATGTAATGATAAGATGATAAGGTTGTTTGGGGGGGAAAAATTAAGTACATCGCTTTGAAAAAATTTTGTGTTTTGGGAGGGGGGGGACTCATGTTTCATTTTCCCTCATAATACGACTATGAAAAAAGAAAAATGATTGCATAGTTTACTTACATTTTTCTGGCTGATGAATCAGTTTAGAGTACATCATATGAAGAGTTATCAGAGCCATCAAGGTGGACATAAAAGGAATAAGTAAAACCAAGGCCCAGCCTCTTGAGTGCTGGATGTAAGCTATTCCCAGAAAGACAACAGTTGCATTTAGGTTCATGCGCCAATAAAACCTAGAGTATGCAAACAGAAATAATAAAAATACCAATGTGTATTCTTCAGACAAATATTACTAATTTTAATGCTTTTATACATGTCTAAGTTATGAAAGGATATCAAGCAAGTGAAACTTGAGTGTGCACATATTATTTATTCCATTTTCTAATGCAAGTGTAAGTCAAAAAGTTGTGCTCCTGGGTCCACTGCATATATCCATGACTCTGTGCCCAACAGAACAGGTTTAAATCCCTCTGCGGTCAATGGATTACAAAAACAATACCCTTGCCTTAGTTTCATTAGTGTGCTTTCAAAAAGACAAAAAGATCCAATTAAAACATTGGCTTCTGAGACAATCTGCTGGGCCAATTAAATTCAAGAGAGAGCGGTCAGCTAAGAAAGTTGTGGCAATTTGCTACTGGGATTCCTAAGGGGTCATCTTGATAGATTTTTTTCAAAGGACACAGAATGATCCTTGAGGCTTATTGCAAAGGTTTCTGAAAACTTGAAATCTGTCTTGGTAAGAAAAAGGCCTTGGAAGGTGTGCCAAAGCATTTTCCCGTCATGACACTGCTCATTCTTCAAGGATACCAAGGGTCGTCCTAGGAGAGTTTCACTGGGAAACATGAGCCCATCCACTCGACAGCCCTGATCTTACATGTTCAGTCTTCTCTTTGTTCCCTAAACTAAACGAACATTGAATGGAAACATGAGGAGAGTCCCCTGAGGATGCCAAAGCAGCCTTTTGTGACGTGCTGTAAACAGAGAAGAGTGGGAATTCTTTGTGGAAGGGTTAGAAACATGGAAAAACCACATTCGGAAGTGTATAGGCCTAGCTGGAGAATATGTCAAGAAACAATAGGTTTACATTTTGATATTTTGCTTAATAAAGGTTTGTATAGTATGTAGCAATACTTTTTGACTTACAATGGTACGTGTGTACTCATCAACTATTATCTTAGCTTTGTTTCAATTCTATTTAGAATATACAAATGTAGGAAGAGTGAGCTCTACTTTATCCAAATTAGAGTTAAACAATTTTATGCAAAGAGTCCTATGGTAGATGTGTTTTTTAAAAAAATTAATACGTAGTTTATTTTTAACAATTTCACTGACCTACAACTCACATATCATACATTTCCATGGGTCAATAACATTCATAAGAGTTGTTCAGACACCACTACAATCAACTCCAGTGTATTTCTTCTTCCTTGTACTTGCTGTTGTTAGCTCAAGAGCTTCTGCCAGCATCCCCTGTCATGTTCCTTTAAATCTACTGATCTGGTGGTTATCCCTATAAGTTTATCTAGCCTGGGTTTCATGGACAGAAATATCATACAAAATCAAAACAAAATATAAACAAACAGCACAACAACAATGATGCACTGAAAGAAAGAAAAACTTTAATTGAAGACAAATCAGAAAATATTAAACATGGGAACGTTATACACTGGATCAAGAGGGCGCTCACTGACGAGGTGCCACATTTTGACTTAAAATTGCAGTAATCACGCTACAATATTCTCTGTTTGTTCAATGTTCTCTCTTTCCCATCTCTGGTACAAAATCAAATTCACATGGGGGGACCCTGCAAATGGGTTTTGAGTTTTCACTGTCATCTGCAGACTTCTGCCATCTGAGTACTCAGAATTTAAACTGTTAGCTCATTCCCTCCTCTAGGTTTTGATTTTCTGGTTAACAATTCTTGGATCACACATGCTGGTGTGCTTCTTCTGTGTGGACTTAGCAAACACCTCAATATATGGGCACATGGTCTCTGTTGCAACTATTCAACTTTCTAATGTGCTGCTAAAGAAGCTATAGAAAAAATATTTTACCTATTATCTCTCAGATGAGATTGGTTAAATTGCTAAATAATCGAATCTTACTCATTTCAGTTTTCAGTGTACATTAAGACACCTACAGAGAGAGAGGTAGAGACAAGGCAGAGGAGCCTTAGATATTAACGTAACAGGGTTGTATCCAGAGGAAGCATTCACCAAAGAAATGTGTGATATCTGAATAAAATTTTCACTTGCACATTTTAGTTATTACTATAACAAATCGTTATTTACCCCATTTGCCTGGCTTTCACTTTTTGGGGGTCTTTGTATTTATTTTTATTTCAATAATTGTTTTAAGTTTAATGTTAAAATGAAAGTCTACTGGTTCCAAAATTGAGAGCCAGACAAGTGGGGTAGCTAACTAATTGTCAGTCATAATTAGGAGGCAAAATGGAAGATTTCATTGATGAGGGGTCATTTTAACATTAAACTTAAAACAATTATTGAGATAAAAGTAAATAGAATAAAACTCATCCATTCTAAATGTATAGGTTGATTAGCTTTGGGTTAAAGTTTCAATTGTTTAAATGTCAATAGATTTAAGTTTTAGAACATTCATTTCACCAACTTTAAAGGGCTCGAATAATTAAGCCAGGCTCACCAGGATAATCTCCCCTTTAATAAACTGAAAATCAACTAATTATAGATCTTAATTATATCTGAAAAATTCTTTCACTTTTGCTATCTAATGTAATTTCCTTGCTATCTTCTATTGTTCATGACTCGGTCGTAGTTCTGCACACACTACAGGTGACAGGACTGACAGAACCATGACTCCTTAGGGGTCAGTCTACGACACATCTTCCAGGTCTCCCACTCCTCTGTCCTTCCCTTTTGCTTTTTCCTTCTCCTTCTCTTCCCCCTTCCATATCGCTTGGTCTTTCCCTGTCTTCTCAGTGATACAGTAGACGTTTTAAGGTTGGCTGAAATCCATGTTTCCTTTGTGACTCAGAGAAAACCAAGTCCATGTGCATTTCCATTGGGTCGATTCCGACTCAGAGAAACAGGGGAGAGCTGTTCTGGTGGGTTGGCAAGACTGTAACACTTTACAGGAGTAGAAAATCCCTTCTTTCTCCCACAGAGCAGTGGTGGTTTCAAACTGCTGCCCTTGTGGATTGCAGCCCATTGGGTAACTACTACAAGACCAGAGTTCCCATTGCAGCCGATAGAATAATTTTAGACCACAGATGATGAATATATTTTGTTATATAAAAATCATTTTAACCATAAGTGATGAATATTTTCTTATTTTTTCCCTAGCAGTTGTATTGCTTTCATTCTAGGTAGTTTTACTTAGATCTTTTTCCCTATAGGATATAATTTTTTTCCCATATAGATTTCTAGTTATTCTAGCAGTATTTATACTTTCCCTCATAGAGTGATATGCTTATCTTTGTTGAAAATCAATTTATCTTATACATGTGGGTCTGTTCTCTGACTAATTTCTATTCCATTGATCTTTCTTTAAGCCAACACTATATTGGCATGATTACAATTACTTTGTTTTTACCATTTAAAAAGCTTTATTGAGATATAATTGATATACAATAAACTACATGTGCTTAAAGTGTACACTTTGATGTGTTTTGAATATATATGCACCCATAAAATCATTGCCATGCTCAAGATTACAGAATTTTCACTTCTAAAAGTTTTGTTTTCTTTTGCAATCCTTTTTTCCTGTCCCTTCTTGTCCTCTCCCTTCCCCCTCTCAACTTCAGGATATTGCTTATCTGCTTCCTGTCACTATGGATTAGTTTGGCACTCACAACTCAATTCTCACTGCCATTGAGTGAATGCTGACTCATAGCGACCCCTGTGGGTTTCTGAGACTGTAACTGTTTACTGTTTACAGGAGTCGAAAGCCCAGTCTTTTTCCTGAAGAGCTGCTGGGGGTGTTGAACTACCAACCATGCAGATCGCAGTCCAATATGTAACCACTACACCACC